ATAATAATAATAATAGTAATAATAGTAATAATATTAATGCAAATAAAAGTAATGATTTATTTATTAATAATTCTAATAATAATAATATTACTTAAATCATAGAAAACATTTAAAAAAATTAACTTTTTTAAAATTAAAACTAATCAGAATAATTAAATCTAAATACAAATAATTAGCTTTTGTAAGATTCCTTAAATAATTTCGTAAATAATGAATAATTAAAAAGGAGAAATATGACTATGCCTTCATTAAAAATACCATCTTTTTAATAAATAGCTAGTCCTTTTTCAAATACAACTAATTGTAATAGTAGTTTACTCTTAAAATTTGTTTAAAATCAAATTTAGTAGTAATAATAATAATCAAAGAATAATTTTCCGATAAGTTTATCTAATTTTACAACAAATTGTAGCTCTACTAATTTATTTAATAACTTATTATAGTAGTATAATAGTCCGAATTCGAATGATATTTTTTCATTGTCTTCTTAGAAAACATGTCCTTCGTTAATTCATATTGAAAATGTTTAATAAATAAATAAATAGTTGGCCCAATAATAAAAAGAGATGGAATAATAATAAATAACAAAATAATTTTTATAATAATTTTATAATTGTAATAAAGATTAATAATTGATGATATTCTAATAATTAAATTAATAATTTTAAGAAAATTTATAATGAATAAAAAAATAAATTAACGAATACTAAAAATAAAATATATATAATTATTATATAAAAAAAAAAAAAAAACTTAAGAAATAAATAACTATTAAGGTTAGTAAATTATAATTAATAAAAGATATTAAATTATTATTTTTAATTAAATAAATATAATTTTATTTTTATTTGTACGAATTTTTTTGTATATTTGTCAAATTTATTAATATTTTTTCAACATTTTTATTATAAAAACAAAAAGTACTTCTTCAATTCTATTTTAAAATGTTTTCATATAAAGTTATATTTATTCTATTATATATATATATATAAAATTATTAAATTTTTTAAAAGTTTTTTTTTTATAAAAAAATATTATAATAAATTAATTAAACTAATATTTATAAATTTTTAACATTATTTTTTAAAATAAAACAATCAACATAAATAAAGAAAAGTTTTTTTTAAAAAATTGCTAATAAAAAAACTTGCTAAAAACTAATATTAAATTTTTAATTTTTACTAAAATTAATAATAATAAAAAATTATCTTAAAATATAAATAAAATTAAAATTACAAATAAATATAAAGTATTGTTTTAGAAATTGCTTATATACATATTTATAAAATGTTTTTATATATATATAAAATCAGGATTATAAATTTAGAAAATAAATATTTAATTTTAATTTCAATTTTGGAAATAACGATTAAATTAACGTAAAATAAATTATATAATAATATATAAATTTTAAATTATGAATAAATATAAAATAATTTTTATTTTCTATTAATATATAAAAATTATATTATTAATAAAAATATTAAATAAAATATAAATAAAAAGGTTTATCATTCAGACTAATATATTTAAAATAATAAATAGAAGAGTATTTATTCAATATTTTGGTTTTCAATTATCCCAAAATTAATGTATATACGTTATTTATGAAATATTGTCATAAAATATTTTTTATTTTAATATTTAAATACATATCTCAAAAATGTTAGATAACTATTCTTTCAAAAATAACTATAACATTCTTTATTTTGAACTGTTTAAACTGGTTAAACACAATAAGTTATCATTTTTGAAAAATCAGATATAAGTTAGTTATATATTAATTTATTTATTTTTTTTAAAAAAAAAAATATTTCACTTTATTATTTTTATTATTATTTTTTTTAATATTTTTAATTCATTTATTGATTATAAATTTGAAAATTGATATTTATGTATATAATGCTTCTGCTGCATTAATTATATTAATACTTTTCATTGTTATAAGATTATAAAAAAACATATTTTTTATAAATTACTTTTCCATATTTTTTATTTTCCTTTATTTATTTTTAAAAGTTAAACCATCAAAATAATAAAAATTATTATTCATTTTTATAGCCATTTTTTTTTTTTTTACTAATTAAATATTTTAACAAAAAATTATAGAATATATAAAGTAAATAATATGAATAAAAAATAGATTTTTATATTATCAATTATTTTAAAAAAATTAATATTTTTAATTTTTAAATATGAATAAAAGTTTTGAGCTGATTTATATTTTTTTTGTTCAAATAAAAAAACGATTTTCAAAAAGAGAAAACATTTTTATATCAATTAAAAATATCTAAAATTATGTTAATATCTAATATATAGGAATCATCTGTAATGCTAAAAATATCAGCAATATAAAAAATATCACAATATATAGACATCAAATCAATCAAAAATATGAAATTTTAATAGTATTAAAATCTTTTCGATTTCTAAAATTTTTGGTAATATATATAAACTTTAACAATATTTATTATTGAAATATATTATAAAATTTAAAGTAAAATAAGTTAAAATGAATTATTATAATATATAATATTTAAATTTAGAATAATTACGTTAATGTAATATTTGAATAAGTTTTATTATAGTATGATTATATGTCATATATTACAATTTTTACGACTTAAATATAAATTTATTATTATTAAAAAATTTATTTTAATACTAAATATTTGTTTTCCTAAATGAAATAATAAACCATTTTAAATTATAAGCCATCTTTTTTAAAACAATAATATTAAACCTACAACTTTTTAAATTAAAAATATAAATTTGTTTCGCATTAAAATACATTTTAAATTAAGTAAAGAAAAAGAAATTTAATAATGATTTTATATAAAATAAAAATAAATAAACAATTTTTATTCTTATAAAAATAATATTTTTCTTAAATAATATTAAGTTTAATTTTTTTTTTTTTTAAAAAAAAATATAAATTATAAATATATTTTTATATATGATTATGTAATTATAATTTATTTATGAGTTAATAATGCTTAAAAAATTGAAAACCTTTTTTTAATATTAAAAAAATAAATAAACAAATGAATACCTTCCTTATTATTTATTTTCTCCGAACTTCTTTTTATCTTATATTATTCTTAAAAAAAAACCTTGTTCAAATCTCAAAATTTCATTACCAATGAAACTCTAATAAATTTACTTACAATTAAGAACTATCAAAATATTTCGTGGCAATAATTTTAATATAATTCATTATATTATTGAACTTCCAAATAAAAAACGGTGTTTGTAGTATTTATTGCTTGTAAAAAGAATTTGAAAAAGTCCGAGATATTCTGGTTTTATATGACTGACTATCTTAAATAATTTTTTATTTAATCTATTCAGCTCGAAGAAGAATGATATAATAATAATTTTTAGAGTAATTTTACTTTTGTGTATTAAACATTATGAAAAGATATAACTTACTTTTGAATTGAGTATAGTAAATGATAAAATTAATTTTAATTTATTTATAAAGGATTTTTATATATGTTTAACATTTTATAATATAATTAACAAATATTTATTAAATTTAATAAAAATAAATATTCATCAATTCTCAAATCAAATAATTATAAAAAATTTTGTTTACTTATACTATTAGGAGTTGATTGAATAGGGTAAAAAAAAACTATTCTTAATGATTTGAGCAATTTTAAAACTAATATTTCTAGAACTATTTAAGAATTAAACAAAATATTAATTAAAATCCTCATTTAAATTACCATTATTAATTTTCAATATTAAATATGAGATGTTTTATAAAAACTTTAAAAATAATAAATATGTTGTGTTAGGCTAAATAATATAAAAAAAATTAAATTAGAGTTTATGCGCTTATAATTTATTAATATTTTATAATACGAATGAAATATATAATTAAAAAAATAGAGATATAAATTATTATATAATTGATGAATTAATAAAAGAATAAATAAAATTTGTATTTAATAAATATATTTATATTTTATGTTATATATAGAAAAATAAAATATTTTATAAAATTTCAAATTATAAATAAATATTTATTTTTATAATAATAATAAAAAAAATATATATATAAGAATTAAAATAAATTTTAAATTTATTTTATATTATATTCATATCATTAATAAAAAAAAGCTTATCAGAAAATATATAAATATATATAAATATATATATATATATATATATATATTTATTTATATTTATATATATATTTATACATTTATTTTTTTATATGTATAATACTTATATAGTTATTTATTTATATATATTTTAGAAAATTCTTTTTTTTTTTCATCATTCTAGCCACCCTTTTTATGTATGATATAAATTTTAAATTGTTTTTTAACGTTATAGCATTTGTAATTATTCTTTTCCAAATTATATTTATTCCTCAATTTATTATTAATTATTTAACCTAGCATTATTACGGAAATCTACTTTAGCACGTCGAATAATATAATGTCTAAAATTATAATCCTTAAATTATAATCCAGTTCTTAAAATATTTTTATAAAGATCTAAAATTTAACCTTTGCTTCGCATTTTATGATATTTTTTTTTCTTTAATGTTTTTATTTGCAATAAAAATAAATATATATTTTATATGGATTTTCATTTTATTAATTAATAAAGGAAAAAAAAATTGAATCAGATAAATAAATAATCAATATATCAAAATAAAAAAATAAAAATATTGAATTAAATATATATATATTTATACATATATATATACTTATATTTATTAAAAAATATATAAACTGAATATATAAAATACATATTAAATTAAAAATTAATAAAATAATAATATTCGCAGTTAGTAAATATTTTTTATAAAAGAATTTTTTTTTTTCTTATTAATTTAATTGTTATATTATATTTTTAAAATAAAAGAAAAGATTAAATTGTTGAAATAATAAAAAGAAAAAAAATCCAATATAAATATTTATAAAAAAAACAAACAAAATATAATATAATTTAAAATAAAATAAAATAAAATAAAAAATACTAAAAAAGACAAATGAAAACCCTCATTATTACTCTTTCTCTCTTCTGCTTACTTTTAGCAGCTCCAAAATGGCATGAATTATCATCTGAATACACATTCGATTAATACATATCTGATTACTCCAAAAACTACGCAAAAGGAACCCGTGAATACGATTAAAGAAAGATTATATTCGAATCTAAATTATAAGAAATTCTCTCTCACAATTAAAATACTTCCCATACATACAAAAGAGGTATAAACGCCTTCACTGACATGTCCCATTAAGAATTTAAATAATCCAAATTAGGTTACTCTAAAGGTTTCAGATCTTCCCGTAACTAATAATTCAGACAATTATTATTAAACAACAAAAAATTACTCCTGAACAAATCGCTGAACTCCCCAAGAGCGTTGACTGGAGAGATCATAACGTAGTATCTCCTGTAAAGGATTAAGGACACTGTGGTTCATGCTGGGCTTTCGCAACTGTTGCAGTAATTGAAAGTCACGCCGCTATTTCTGCCGATAAACACTTGAAAGTTCTCTCTACTGAATAATTAGTTAATTGTATGTCCAACGAAATGTAATGTGGTGGTTAAGGCGGATGTAATGGAGCTGTAGCTGAATTAGGTTTCAATTACGTCTAATTATTTGGACTTACTTCTGAATATAAATACCCTTATTAATCTTACTAAGGAAAATCCAGCTAATGTACCTGGGATCATGCTACCATGACTCCTGAAGTCACAGTTGATGGCTATCTTAAATTACCCGTAAATTCATACGAGCATCTTTTACATGCAATTGCTACTGTTGGTCCTATAGCTATTTCTGTCGATGCTTCAAAATGGCATGATTATGAAGAAGGTGTCTATAGCGGATGTGATGTTACTTAAAATATAGAAATCGATCACGCTGTAACACTCATTGGATATGGTACTGATGAAAAATTAGGTGACTATTGGCTTGTAAGAAATTCTTGGGGTACAAAATGGGGTGAAAATGGATATATTAGACTTAAAAGAGAAAGCACACCTTAATGTGGTACTGACTATACTCCAGGTATCGGTAATGCTTGTAGAGGATAAAATGATGCTTAAAAAGTTTGCGGATAATGTGGTATTTTGTCAGATTCTTCTTATCCTTTAAATGTTTAGGTTATTGGTTGATATGAATTTTTTTTATAAATATATATATATATATATATATATATATTGATTTTATAGATATATATATTTGCTATGTTTTTTTATTAAAAATATTTGAAAAAAAAAATATATTAATTTAAATATTATAAAAAAAAAAAATATTAATTTTATTTATATAACAAAAAAATTGTAAATAAAATTAATATTTATATATTTATTTTATTTTTTAACGAATTATATTAATAAAAAAATTAATTAAATATTATATTATAAAATAAAAACTCATTCATCATTCTAATTGTTTTTATCTTAGTTTATTTCTTAGATTTTCTATAAAATAAGTGAAGGAATAATACAAATAGTTTTTGTAGCATCATTAGTTTTGTAAACTCCAACAAGTTTATTTGCCAATTCAAACATATTGTTTCTTAACGAAATAATAATAAACTATGCATTTTTAGTTCTATCATAAATGTAATTACCAACAATCGAAACATTTTTAAAGTCCAAAGCAGCATCGATTTCATCCATAAAATATAAAGGAGTAGGTTTATAATAATGTAAAGCGAAAACTAAAGACAGACTAGAAAGAGTTTTTTCACCTCCGGATAATTTCGATATTTATTTCCATGATTTTTTTGGAGGTCTAACTGTAAAATTAACACCATCAGAAAATGGATCTAAAGAATCTATTAATTCTAATTCTGCATCACCTCCATTTGTAAGCGTCTTTTTTTTATTTTAAAATAAAATAAAGTAAATATATATATATACTATATATATATATATATATATATATATATATATATATATATACCTAATATGTTTCTTTTAATTTGGAAGAAATTAAGTTAAATCCACTCATGAATTTTTCGAATCTTTCTTTTTTTAATTTATCTACATCTTATTTTAATTCAGTAATTTTTTATTTAACTTTTTCAAATTCTTCTTTTCTTGATTTAAATTCGACATATTTTTCTTTAAATTCATTTATTGTATTTATATTAGCTTCGTTTCCTAAGCTTTTTAACTTTTCTTCAGTATTTGCTTTCTATATTTTTAATTCTTCCTTATATTTTTCGATACTTTCTATATTTTCTTATTATAGATCTTAATTAACTTCTATATTCATTATACTTTATATATTATATCTTTATTTATGTACGATTTTTTTTTCTTATATATTTTCTTCATCATTTTCTACTTCCATTTAATTTTTATTTTCCATAATTATTGTTTATTCCAATATACTTATTTCTAATATTTTTTTATTATATATTTAGTTAGATATATTAAAAATATATATTTTTTTAAAAAAATACCAGGCCTTCTTTATTATTATTAATCTTCTTATCCTACTTAATAATTAGCTATTTCATCTAAATAATCAAGGAAATTATATTGAGATATAATTTCGAAATATCTAGTTCTATTTTATTATATTTAATTATTACTTTTAGTTAATTCTTCTTATACTTTCCTAATTAAAAAAAAATATATATATAAAAAAAATTAATATAATTTACTAAATTTTTATTTCAGTTTCGTCAATTTCTTTTTATATTTTTTCTAAATTATTTTAAAATTCTTCTAAGATTTATTAAATCTTAATTTTGGCTTAAGTTTTTTCTTCGTATTTTTATTTAAGTGTTTCGAGTTCTTTTTCAGAAATTTCTCTTAAATTAATAATTTCAACAGCTTAATTTTCTATATCTTATTTTTAATCTTAATATTTTTAAATGAGATCTTAAATTTTGATAAGTTAATGTTAACAGTTTTTCTTTTCTTTAGAATTATTATTAAGATTTTTTTCAGTATCATTTAATTTAGCTTCCATTTAGAAAATACTATTTTCATAATTGCTTTGTTTCTAGAATATAGATAAAAATTTATATAAATATTAATATATATGCATTTCAAATAAATAATTATTAAAATAATAATATATATATATTATATATATATATATTTATATATTTATAATACTTATTTTAATTCATTATAGAGTTATTATTATTTTTTTAATTCATTTCCTCCTATTTAATTAATTTTGTCATCTACTTCTTATATAGCTAGTTATTTTTCTTATACAACTTTACTTATATTATTATACTACTATTCATAAACCATAATATCATGTTAAATTTTATCTACTTCTTTTTAATTATTTTATATTGGCTTTACTTATTTTTATAAAGTAGCTACTTTTTTTTTGCCAGCTTCTAATTATTCTTCACACAATTTCAAATCGAATTTTTTATTTTCTATTTCTTTTTCAACAAATTTTAAATCATTTTCTAATCTTTAAATATCACTTTAACTTTATCCCATTCTTTCTCTTAATTATTTCAAATCATTTTAATTTTAATTATATTCTTCTTAAAATCTTATCAATTCTTCATTACTTATTTATATTTTCAATTTATTAGACATTCCTCCCTTTCTTGGATTTCCACCTCCTGACATAACACCACTAGATTCTATTAATTCTCCTTTTTTAGTAACTACCTTTTATATTGATAATTAATAAATATATTATATTTATACATATATACTCTATGTCTTTATCTTCCATAACCAATTTACGTAGCCATTTCAATATCTTCACATAAAAGTGTATTTCTTATAGCAAAATAAAAAGCGACACGTAATCTAGATTCTTTTACATTTATTAAATCAAAAAGTCTTAAAGAACCTTAAGGAGCTTAAAATTATCTTTCCATTTCATTTCTATTATATTCGATTTTATCTAGTGCTATAAATGATGCTTTACCTATTTTTTCATTTCTTAAAAATTAAACAGCTATTTAAGCATCCTCATATCTATATAAATTAATAAAAATATATATATGAAAGAATTCAAATATAAATTTAACCTTTCAACTATAATATTATCTAATTATGGACATGCAGTAGTTATTGCAATATCATATTATTCATGAATAGTTCCCAAATCACCTAATCTCCCTAAAATTCCATTTAATTTTCCTTATTTTTAAGCATGTATAAGTTCTGTTAGTACCTTTATTAAAATAACAATATATATATATACAATTTCAATAATAATAATATATGTATACTTTATTTCTTGATGTATTTTCTTAATTTTATTAATTAAACTAATCAATTTTTTACTTACATTCTTCCATAGATCTAATAATTTTCTATTCATAATTTTTAAGTTCTTAAAGTGTATTTAATTCTTCATTTTTTTTACCATTAATACTTTAAATGACTATATTAGCCTTATCAATAGTTTATTTTAATTCTTAGAAACTTTCATTAATTTTCACATTATTTAAATTGCATTTTGATAATTCATTTTAAATTGAATTTTAATCTGAAGTGATTAATTTGAGTTTATTTTCTAAATTTTCTTTTTTTTATTTGATATCTATTTATTCATCTTTTAATGGCAAAAGCATTTTTTCGAACTCTTTTTTTTCCTTGACTAATTTTATATTTTCATTATTGATTTTATTTCTTAATTCAGTTAATTTCTTTTCCTCCTCATCTAGTTTTTCTTCCATTTATTTTAATTCCACTTTTTTCCCTGGAATTTCTTTCTCGTATTCCTTTGATTCTCGCACGATTTTATTATATTCTTTTTAAAGATCTTCTATTTGTTTTTCTATTTTAGTCTAATTTTCGGTTTCTAATAATAATTTTTACCTAATTTATGCATCTTTATTATTTAGTTTTTAGAATTCTCCAGTATATTTGTTCACTTCTACTTCTTTATTTTAAATATCTTGTTTATTTTTTTTATATTCTTAAATAATATCTTCATTTTCTTTGATTTTTTGTTTAATTTCTTATTTAGTTACCAAATTTTTTTAAACATTTTCTTTTTTTTTATTTTCTAATTTTCCTAATTCCCTTTTATTCCTATAGCACTCTATTTAACCTAAAATATTAATAATTTAGTATTTTTATCGTTCGCTTCTAACATAATCGACAGCCAAATTTTTAGATTCATTTAATTTTTCTAAATCAACTTCATGAATTCTCATTCTCTCACCTTTTTCCCTTCGCTCATTTTGCAAACCTTCATGTTATTCTTCTTTTTTTTCGATTTCCTCTTTAAATTAATCAGACCCAATTATATCTTCTAAATATTCTAGTAATCCAGGTTTTTCTGGATCACCAGATTTAGGTTTCATTAATGATATTTATTCAACTTCTCCTTATAAAATTAAAAATCGATTATTATTTAAGTCTATTCCTTTTGATTTTAACATTTCTATAACTTCCTATTGAGTACTTTCTCTATTATTAATTTCATATTTAGATACACTTTATTTATTAACAGTTCTTCGTACACTAAATTCTGTATTTTCAATTATTTCATAATCTTCACCTTCCTATATTTATAAATATTGTATATATATATATATATATATATATATATATATTTATTTATATTATAATTATTTTTTTAAAAAATTTTAATCTACATAAAATATGTATTAAATAAATTGATATACTAATTAATTTTTTGATTTAATGTTTAATTTTTACTTTATCTTTTATTTCATGAAATATAACTTCTACAGATGCCTTTTTTATATCTTAATGTTAAGATGAATTGTGTATAAGTTAACTTAAAGTCTTTAAACGCATCCAAGATGCTTTTTTACCAAAAACAAATAATAAAGATTCTATTAAATTAGATTTTCCACTTCCATTTGGACCTACCACTGATGTAAATCTTTTGTGGAATGGACCTATTACTTGACGTCCTTAATAGCTTTTGAAATTCTCTAATATTATTTCTTTTACTATTAATCTCTAATCATTATGGTTTAATTAATGTATTTTTAAAGGAGTTTTTTAAGGAAGTATTTTTGGATGTTCTTCTAAAGGTTGGAATTCTTCTTGTTCCATTTATTATGTTTAGCGTTGTTTTCGAATACTACTCATTAATCTTTATTATTTATTTTTTAGTTTCTTTTTTATTTATTAGATAGTTTTTTATTTCTTATAATTTTTTTTTTTTTGGTAATAAAAAAAATATTAATTGAATTTTTTTTTTTTTGATAATGTTATTATTGTATTGAAATTTATTTTTTGAAGCGCCAAAAATTAATTAATTTGGGAATTTAAATTAATTCCTTCTTTTTTAAGTATTTTTTTTAAAAAAATATTAAATCTTTTTATAATAATTGTTCATATTATATACTATATAAAACTCGACAAATAAAAAAAATACAATTATTATTTTTATATCGTATTATTCTTTTATATTGTAAATACATTATTATTTTATTAAATAGAAAAATAATTGAAATTTTAATTGTTGCTTAGAAATAAATAAATAATAATTTATAAAATAAAATATTAATAGAGTAAAAAAATATAAATGTTATTAGAATTATTTGTAATATTGCAAAAAATAAAATAATAAAAGGATTGTTTTTTAAAATGTAAAAAGATAATTAAATAATATAAAAATCAAATCAAATTTATAATAAATATAATTATAATATAATAATCTGTTTATTAATATATATAAAAAAAACAATAATTTAATTATTAGAAACACTTTAAAATATATTATAATATATATATACTTTTTTATTTAAATTTTTCAATTAATAATCTAAAAAATATTATATAAAAATAATATACTTTATCTAAAAATTAATAAAAATAATTTTATTCATAATAATATTAAATATATCTTTTTAAATTATAAAATAACATATTATCTTATGCATTTTAATTTATTTTATTCAAAAAAATACATTAAAAATATAAATATATATATAAAAAAAAAATATATATATATATATATATATATATATATTTAATATTATTAAATTTTAAATTAAAATCATTTCATTAATTTACAAAAATTAAAATTTCTTATAAAATATAATTTATAGTTATTTATTATATTATAATTTTATTATATGTTCAATATATTTATTTTTTATAATTTTGTATACTTTCAAATAAAATAGTATTATTTAAAAAAATAAAAACACAAAATTTATATAAATAAATAATATATTTTATTTAAATTAGTAAATCTATTAATATTTTTTTATCTATAAATTTAATAATGAGATGAAACAATATTTATATCATATTTAGGATTTTCTAAAAAATAATTTTATTTTTAGTATAATTACTTCGGTTTAAATTTATATTTTATTTAAAATTGAATTAATTTATTATTTATTTAAGTCATTTTTATTTTATTGCTACATAATTATTATTATTGAAATTCTTAATAATTTTTCTAAAAAAATTATAATTATCTTAAGATGCAATAACTAAAAATTATAAAATTTTCGGTATTCTTTAATTTAAAATAAAGGTAAATTTTTCAACAAAATTCCTATCTTTTTTTTCAAAATTTAATTTAATTTTTTATAAATAAAACTTAATATCATAAAAATTCTTAATCTATAAATATATTAAGTCTAAATCTTAAATTTATTAATTTTTTAGTTATAAAGTTTAATAAAGTGCTAAATTAATTACTTTGTTTGATTTTTTTTTCATAGTAATAAGAATTAAATTTATTATCAAATAAGCGTTTCTTCTTAATATAAATTTAAAAAAATAATAATTTAATATTTTATGTAGAATTTAATTAAAATGGTTCTTTTTTGCATTCTTATTATATATGTATCGAAAAATAGTTCTTATATTAAATTTATTTTTTGAACATCAACTTTAGACCTATAAATGGGAAAATAATTATTAGAATAAGTTATAAAGTTAAAGTTAATCTTAAATTATAAAAAAAAATGAATTTATGTATAATATTAATGTGTTAAACCAGCCTGAATATATTTTAAAGATATATAAAAAATACAGGAAAGTAATATAAAAGTTAATTTGAATTTTTTGATTTTTTAAAGGAATAAAAAGTGGATATTAAATAGCTTTTATATATATTTATATAAAAAATGCAAGCTTAATTATATATTCTAAATTTTAAAGGATTTTTTCTTCTGTAATAAATATTAAATTTATATATTTTTTATTTAAGTTTTTTTTTTTTATAAAATATAAATGACTATTTATAAGTGATTAATATCTTACTAATTTATACTTTCCATAAACAATTTTTTTTTTTTCCATATATAAAAAATTAAATTTCTTAATATTTCGTAATTTTGAGTTTTTTTTATTATAAAATAAGATTATTTTATTTAAAATATAATATATTGATGATATTTTAATATTGCTAATAAAATATTAAATATATATATTAAAAATTATAATAATATCTACACGAATATTACTAATTAGCTCCATTTTTTTATGCCAAAAAAAAATATATTCAACACATAAATATCACATAATTATTAAAACTTAAATATATTTGTTTTTTAATAAACCATACTAATTATACAAATATAA